TTGTAGCTTGATGAAATTTTGATTTCATTTCTTTTAATTCCTGGCTAACCTTCCTCATGGTCTCGAACTGGTCGAGGTTCTCCTGCTCGTATTAAGCTGCAAGTTGTTCTTCATCTCCGAGCTGTGTCTCCTCTTCCAACGTCTGAGCTACATTATTATTAGCACCGGGAGTTGTTTGTCCGCTGGTTTCATTTCGTGCAGCGGAACTTGGCGAGTTGAATATCCCTCTTCTGACTCCCACAAGGTTTCCTGCACTTAAAGAGCGAACACGAGTTTGTATAGTATTGACGTTTTGACTAAGAGATACCTGGGATGTTTGCAACGTATCGACGGCCTTTTCCACATCCGAGAACTTTTGTGATATGTCCGACATGGTTTGCTGCATAGCTTTGAGGGTTTCGGCCAATGATGTCTCAACGGCGTCTCCTCCGGACATTGTTGCTTATCTCGGAAGTGTAATAAAGAAAAAATCTGACCACTCAAGAAACTTCTATCCCCACAGACGGCGCCAAAATGTGGATGTCGGATTCACACACTCAAGTATTTTTATTAGTAGGAAAGATTATTCTTGAGGGACAAAAAATAAGAACGTAAAAAGGCTTATGAATACAAAAAATTGCTATCGTATTTCTTGCTCGAGAGGAAGATCCCCTTTACATGGCCATTGGCCTTCATATTTATACATAGAGAAACGACATTTAAAGTGAATAATTAAGTACAATTATTCTCTCTTAAATGTGTCTGTTTTGATTCCTTGACTTTAATGCTCAACGTTTGAATTTGAGTTGACTCTGGTCTTTATGGGCCTCGCCTTTTGGCCCAAGTGTCCTTGAACCGACTTACCCGTGTCTTCTACACCGAACTCATGTTGAAGCGCAATCACTTCGGATTCTCGAAGTGGTGATAACCACTTCGACCGTTCCTTCGGCTCACGGGTCCAATGGGCTTTATCCTTTATGGGCCATTATCTTGTCTTCGTGGCAATCTTTGGTTGGTCTCGGACTTCTGGTGCGGGATCCGACACCAACAATGAGGTCATGTATCATATTGCATAATATGATTGTTGAGGATGAACGAGAGACATATGCTCAACATTGGAATGATTATGATCAATCTGAGGCAAGTGGGTCTAGTACACAACAACCATTTTCGACCGAAGTGCTACCCGTATTTGCAAATCATGTGCGTGCTAGATCCGATTTGCGTGATTCAAATGTACATCACGAACTTCAAGCAGATCTAGTCAAACACATATGGGCACAGAGGGGAATGTTCGGTGGTGAATGAGATTTATAAGTTTGTGAGTTGAGATTATTATACTAATTAAGTTATGAGTATTTCCTTACTTGTATTGTGTGCTTATTGTATTGCATTTTAAGTTTCTCATCAATGTATGTGTTTTATTAACGACTATTTGTATTTCTCATTTTTATTATTTATAAAATAAAATAAATTGCGTTTAGATAAAAATTATTTGGTTCAATTATTTCGACTTGTTGAATTGTACAAGAGAGGATAAAATTATGACACGTGGCATTCATTAATTGGGTGAAAAAATTGCGTTTAGATAAAAATATAGATAAGAATACATGTTGTCGTTTTGAATTTTTCGTAATTTTATTTGTTTTAATAATGACTCTCTCTCTATTTTCGTTTTTCTTATTTACATTTTTAGTTAAAAACATAAAATTTAAATAAACTAAAAATAAAAAAATATTTAACTCTTAATTACGCTAATTAAAATTTAAGCGATAATCGTTATTAATACCCAATCGAAAAAACTAAAACATAAAAGAAATTAAAAATAATGAAATAAAAAGAAGTGGGGTAGGGTGTTGAATTTTATTAAACAAACCATTGTAGGGTATAAAATTTTAGTGAATGTTGAATAATTAGGTGGAAGAGAGAGAAGATGATGTGGAAGAGAGAGATATGATGTGGAGGGTGTTGAATGTTGAAACCAATGTACATATAAAAGAGAATCGAGGATATTTTCCTGCGAAAACCACACAAGCTTGCACCATTCCTTCGTTGGCCTGTCAAGACGGATTTGGTATTTTTTTAAAAAATTGATGTATATACAGTCTATATAAGAAAATGTAGCTCAACTTATGTATGGAAATAACTAATATCACAAAATCAAAACATAAATATGTATACAATAAATTGTTTATTGATGGAATGCATGTTTTTTTTTTTAGGTAGGATTATGCAATGCATATGTTTTTGAATAGATATCTAAAGCAAGAAGATTTATGCTCAAATGAGCTTATTTATAGAAATGTAAAACTGAAATTAGATAGCTCATTAATAGCTTTATCATGCAAAGAAACTAAAAGAGAAAGGGTATGACTGGTTAGCTTAGATAGAGGAAAAAAAATGAGAAGAAAACAAAATATTCTCAGTTAGTCTACTTCTTCACGAGTCAAAAAGAATTTATTGTCCACCAAATTCTTCTCAGTTCCTCGACTTTTAGTAGAAACAAGTGAAAAGATTCACCAATAAATACATGATAGAAATTTTTTTTCTTTCAACTTTCATTTTTCTTTTCTTCTGAATTCTTCTCATTTATTTTCTTCATTTTTCTTCTAAATACTCCCAGTCACACCCAAAGATTATTTTGTTGTCACGAGGAATACAATGATTTAAGGTTGATACTTTTATAAAGATAGATAAGGAGAGTTGTTTTTGAGACAACTCTCAAAATTACTTACATTAATTCTTATAATATCATATATATATATATATGAAACTAAGAGTACTAGACAACCCAAATGTCATAGGATGATTGGCTTCTTATGGGACAATATTTGGGCTTGTAATAAAGGTTCTTATAGTTTTAATGTCATTCATTCAATAAACAAAGCAAGCAAATCAATAAGAAAGTTATATTAATATTTTTGAAGTACACTTTGTACTTGGATCGGGTCAAAGCATATCCGCAATTGTGAACTGGATATCCATATAATATTTTATATTTAATAATAAAAATATTAAGAAGATTTGCTTAAGATATAAAATTATGATTATTCTATCATCTTTGTTTGATTTTTTTTTTACTGTTTTGAATCATCATATAATACATAATCTTAAGAAAATTTCTCAATTTTTTTTTCTGCATGTGAATCAAATTTTAAATCTATTACTCAATTAATGAAAAAGGTATGTGTTCGACGTCCCACATCGACTTTGCCATTAGGCTTTTATTTGTTAGAGTTGGCTCCGACGTTTGTGGAGGAGCTTGTCAGGATGATGGTCGAGGAATGGCGTTTCCAAGACATATCCGCGAATAGTTTGTTCTTTTTTCTATAATAATTGTCTCCCCGTCCCCTAGGGCTGGGCAAAAAAAAACCAAAACCGAGTATCCGAATTAGAAGCGACCCGAATCCGAATCCGAAAATTTAGATTTACCTTATTGGATCCTAAACTCATATATCCGAAAACCCGAACCCGAATCCGACCTAAACCTGAACGCGTAAATACCAGAATTTTTTATTCGAAAACCCAAAATTTTACCCGAAATTTGAATTTTTACCTGAAACCCGATTTTTAACCGAAAACTCGGTATTTACTCGAAAATCCGAGAATTTACGCGAACATTTATATAGCGGGTATTTAGCAATTCTGAATATCTATACCCGAACCGATCCACTCCCGAAAAGACATGAACCAAAACCGAACCGATTTTTTTATTTACCCTATTGGATCCTAAACTCCTCTACCCGATCAGGTTTTACCCGAAGCCGACCCGCGTACCAAATGCCCAGCCATACTGTCCCTATCAAGAAAAATACATTGAGTATGTTATGTCAAGGACCCAACTCAAATACTTTGAGTATTCATTCAATCATAACTTCAACGTGCCGAGTGCCGAGTGCCGAGTGCCGAGTGTCTAAAAGCAGAAGTGTAGAAGCTACCCCCTTTAAAGATTTCTTCCTCAGGCATGCGTATTCTACAGACAAAACGTGTAACTTTATTTTTCTTTAAAAGTCCATGCATTCTATCAAAATACAGTAGTGAGTTATTAAAAAAGTTTAGACCAGTGTTTTTAATGCTGTGTGAGCTAAATAAAGTTTTCCAAATGTATTTGGAAACTTCAATTCTTGATGAATTTGTATACAATTTTTCTAATATTAAATTTTAGTTAATAAATGGATAAAAACTTGTCTCTATTTCTTTTTGTTCGTTTTGTCCTTTATCACAGAAATGTTTTATGATAGTGTTAGAGTTTGAATTATAAATTTTTTTCTCATTACTAGTAATATAATTCTGTTATTTTTCATGGATAGCTTTTTAACTTCTTTTTTAGGTTTCTCTTTCTTTTATATAGGCTATATATACTGCAATTAGGCCTGTAAACGGAGCGGATATCCAGTTTTTTAGGCTATTCGTATCTGTATTATCCGCCAATTTAATATCCGTATCCGTATCTGGATTCGGAAATTTTGGATATCCGCGGATATATGCGAATATCCAGAAATAAAGTTTTCAAATCCTAAATTCATTAATATCATATATAAAAAGCTTAAAAATTTCATAAAGTAGTTAAATTGATTCAACATAAAAAAACATTACAAAAACAAGAAATTTATTAAAGTATCAAAAAGTTCAAACGATTTAAGTGATGTTTTGAAAATAAAAATAAAAGACATTAATCAACTTTTTTAGTATTTTAGAAATTATTTTTATTTTTTGTCATATTATTTATTTATTAACATTGAAAAATAAAATAAAAACAATTAAAAAATTTGGGCTTACAATTTTTTTGGGGCTTTAATACTTAGACATACTCCGGATATCCGTCATTTTGGTATCCGTATCCGTTTGACCGGATATCTATTTTTTTGTATCAAAAACCGGATACGGATATTCGCGGATAACGGATAAGCCTAGCAGCAGCTATGGCGCTAGAGAGTAGAGGCTAGAAACTAGGAGAGCAAAATACTTATTACTAATTTTGAAAATTGTAAACGTTGACCAGCTTTGAATTCATACTCCTCTATTTTTCAACATTAATATGTGGCTCGCTAGCCTCTATTTTTCAACCTCTCTACATCTCTCGTATAAACGATTGTATCTCCTTTAACACAAAAATAGACGATAATATCTCTCACCACAAGAATCAATATTACCAAAAAGAAATGGTTTCATCACTTAACATCATCGACGTTGCACGAGTCACCCCTTCAAACTCTGACTCGACCGAGTCACTCACTCTCTCACTAACCTTCTTCGACCTCCTCTGGTTCAAGATTCACGCCGTGGAACGAGTCATCTTCTACAGACTCAATGACGCAACTCGCTCTTTCTTCGACTCAGTCATCGTCCCCAATCTCAAAACCTCACTCTCCTTATCCCTCTCTCACTATCTCCCACTCGCCGGAAAACTCATCTGGAAACCATTTGAACCCAAACCAATCATTGTATACACCCCAAACGACGCCGTTTCATTCACCGTCGCCGAGTCAAACGCTGATTTCTCCCGCTTAACCGGAAAAGAACCATTCTCCGCCACCGAGTTGCACCCATTAGTCCCCGAGTTACAAAACTCCGACGACTCGGCTTCCGTCATGTCATTTCAAGTCACGTTATTTCCAAACCAAGGGTTTTCCATCGGCGTAACCGCACACCATGCCGTTTCCGATGGAAAAACGACAACCACTTTTCTCAAATCTTGGGCTCACTTCTGTAAACACCAAGATTCTTCTCTACCGGAGGATCTGATTCCGTTTTACGATCGTACGGTCATAAAAAATCCACCGAATAGTGATATAAAACTTTTGAACTCATGGCACTCTTTAGCCAAAATGTTCTCCGGCGGTAAAGAACCACAAAACCCCAAGAGTTTGAAGTTTCCTCCATCGCCGGTGATTGATCCAGACGTCTTACGATACACTCTTGAGCTCACTCGCGAAGATATCCAAATGCTTCGAGAGAGACTCAAGAGAGACTCACCAAAGGAACTTCGTTTGTCAACGTTTGTGATAACGTTTTCTTATGCTTTGACGTGCTTAATCAGAGCTCGAGGCGGAGATCCAAATAGACTTACCGGGTTTGGTTTTGTTGCGGATAGTCGAAAACTAGTCAATCCGCCAATCCCATCGAGTTATTTCGGCAATTGCGCCACCGGTACTTTTAAAGTGCCATTACGAGCAGAAACGTTTATGGCTAAAGAAGGGTTTTTGGCTTCTACGAGGTTGGTGAGCGATTCGGTTGAGGAACTGAACGAGAGTGTGGTGTGGAAGATCCCAGATTTTGTAGCATTTTGGACACAACTTCCACTAGGTACACAGATTGTTTCTGTTGCCGGGTCGACCAAGTTTGGAGTATACGGGTTGGATTTCGAGTGGGGCAGACCGGAAAAAGTGGTGATTGTGTCAATTGATCAAGGCGAAGCGATTTCCTTGGCGGAGAGTAGATATGGGAATGGTGGTGTGGAGATTGGTTTCTCGCTGAAGAAACAAGAAATGGATGTTCTCATTGATTTGCTCCATAACGGACTAAAAATGTAATTGCTTTTCCTTCAAATAAAATGGTAACTTCCTATTTTAACTAAACGCTTTATACAGATCCGAGAGTAAAAAAACCGAAAATTTATACTGTTGGTCGGAAGCTACTTGTGTGTTGTGTTATTGTATGAAATTCTGGTCATATTTTTGGTTGAGTTAGGTATCAAATCAATTATATTAACTTTCCTTATTAAGAAATTCTAAATTACACAGAATTTAGTTTCTAATTGCTGTAGAATATGGAGGATAACATACGAATACAGAACGTAGAGTAAAGGTTAGGCAACGTTTTCTAACATTCGTAGACAATAGAGTTAAATATAGAATACTAATTCTAATTTTCCTAAAAATTTGAATTCTTAAACTTGTAGAACATAAATGACTTCTAGATAAAAAATCGTAGAACATAAATGAATTTTAGATTTCGTAGACCATGTAGAGTCTCTAGAATACACCGTCTAAATTTCGTAAAAAAATATATAAATACGTAATCTAAACTTGAGAAAGTTTATTCTAAATTTTTTAGATCAAATTTTATCGATCCAAAAATAACAACAAAAACGATATATTCTCGATATTATATGTTTCCTCCCTTGTTTCTCATTATTTTAAGACTTGTTCTTAATTTTCTCTGAGAAAATTGATTAAATCTAATAAAAAATAATTGACCATTAATTCCAACTTGACGTAAATAAATGAAAAAATATCAAAAAATAGTTAATTCTCTGTCTCGCTATACAATGATCGTATGGTCCCCGAGAAAATAATCATATCTCACCAAAAAATGAGTCCATCACTAAACATGATCCACGTGTCACGAGTCGCTCCTTCAAACTCTAACTCGTCCGAGTCACTCACTCTCCCGCTCACCTTCTTTGACCTTCTATGGCTCAAACACAAAGCCGTCGAACGAGTCATCTTCTACAAACTCACCGACGTAACTCGTCCTTTCTTCGAATTAGTCATCGTCCCCAACCTCAAATCCTCTCTCTCCTCATCCCTCTCTCACTATCTCCCACTCGCCGGCCAAATCCTCTGGGAGTCACTTGATCCAAAACCAAACATCGTCTACTCACCAAACGATACCGTTTCATTCACCGTCGCCGAGTCCAACGCCGATTTCTCTCGTTTAACAGGCAAAGAACCATTCTCCTCCACCGAGTTGCACCCATTAGTCCCCGAGTTACAAAACTCCGACGACTCGGCTTCCGTCATGTCGTTTCAAGTCACGTTATTTCCAAACCAAGGGTTTTGCATCGGTGTCACCGCACACCATGCCGTTTCCGATGGAAAAACGACAACCACTTTTCTCAAATCTTGGGCTCACTTATGTAAACATCAAGATTCTTCTCTACCGGAGGATCTAATCCCGTTCTACGATCGTACGGTCATTAAAGGTCCACCGGAGATTGATACTAAAGTCTTGAAAATTTGGCACTCTATTGATAAACCAAAAAGCTTGAAGCTGTTACCGAAACCGGAGATAGATTCCGACGTCGTTCGATACACATACGAACTCACTCGTGAAGATATCGAAAAGCTTCGTGAAAGACTCAAGAGAGAGTCTTCTTCTTCCTCCTCGCTTAGATTGTCAACGTTTGTGATTACGTTTTCGTACATTTTCACGTGTTTAATCGGATCCGGAGGCGATGATCCGGATAGACCCGTCGGGTATAGATTCGCGGTGGATTGTCGAAGACTTATCGATGATCCACCGATTCCGTTAACTTATTTCGGAAACTGTGTTTACTCTGCTGTGAAAATCCCGCTAATGGCGGGGTTGTTTCTTGGTGAACAAGGATTTGTGGCGGCTGCGAGATTGATCAGTGATTCGGTTGAGGAATTGGATTCAAATGTGGCTTGGAAGATTCCAGAGCTTTTGGAAACGTGTGAGAATGCTCCAGTGGAGTCACAATTTGTGTCGGTTGCCGGGTCAACCCGGTTCGGTATGTACGGGTTGGATTTTGGGTGGGGAAAACCTTTTAAGTCGTTGTTGGTGTCGATTGATCAAAGAGGAAAGATATCAATGGCTGAGAGTAGAGATGGAAGTGGAGGTGTTGAGATTGGCTTCTCCCTCAAGAAAGAAGAAATGAATGTTTTGATTGATTTGCTTCATAAAGGAATCAAATAAAATATTGGAAGAAAATCAAAATTGATCCAGTGTTGTTTCTCTTGTTTGCTTGTATTCATCAATTTGGTTCGTGTGTTTTAAATACCCATCCTTATTTTCTTTTCTGCTTTATTTTTTCTTTTGGTTTTCCTTTTTTTTTTTGTTATTTTTGTTGTTGTAAAAGTTATTTACAATTTGCAGATTTTTCCAAAGTGATAATCGAAAAAGTTTTTTTTAATGAAATTCAACAGTAACCAAGTTTGAGAAAATACATGCGGTATTTAAGTGGTTTCGTATTGATGTTTGGTGAGTCTTATGTCAAGTGGAAGACTGAGAAACAAAGAAAAGGTTCGTGTTCTCCAGCTGGAAAGGAATATATATCGCTCTATGGTAGATATTGGGCATGTTCGGTGTTCAGACGTCGCTAACGACCCAAATAAGCGACCGGAAATAAGCTGTAAACACAAGGGTTTTGTGACCCAAGAATGTGGGGAGCATGCCACTGTTAGTGATTACGGTGATGCTGCGACCATTTTTTTAGTCGCTGGAAAAAGCAACAGATTGTTTTCCACTCAGCGATAGTCACTTTCTCTATGGAGTGACCTTCGTTATATCCTTAGCATTGTTTCGTTAGTCACTTTCTCTATGGAGTAACATTCGTTAACTCCTTAACATAACGAAACAAAAATGGGAGTGTTACAGGACCATTGTTTAGGACCGTTTAATACCAATCGATTTCAACCTTATCACATTCGCTACTAGATTCCAAAATAAAACCAATCATATTCTCAACCTTATCAACTTTGTTTTTCAGCGGGAAAAAAAAGTTTGTTTTTCTTAAGCCAACCAACATTTTCCGGCTGCTATATATTCAGGAAATATTAATGTATATAGTTCATTAGTATAGAGTTTTATATATGTTACGCTTTACTTAGCTTAATTGGAGTCTGTATAGGATGGTTAAGTCTGGTTTAGAGGCTTTGGTTTAGGCCTGGTCAATTGTATATAAACCCACAATTGTACATTTTCACAATTGTACATTTTACTTCAATTAATGAGAATGAGATTATTTACTAATATGGTATCAGAGCGTAAACAAATCTCTCTCTAACAACTTTCCACGGCCATTTTCGCCGGAAAAGTTTGTTCTCCGTCGCTTCTGCTCAATTCCGATTCCGATCTTCGCTGTAGACCTTTTGCGACTTCCTCTCTTCCGATTCCTCGTCAGATCGAGCTCGATTTTAGCTTCCTTTGCTCTTTTTCAGCTCGTTGTTGGCTCTAATGGGAAAACGAAAGACGACCTCGAAGTATCGCGCATCTACACCAGATCCGCCGGAAATTAGCTCTCCGATCTCCAATACCAAGACTCGTAGCTCATCGCCGATGCGTGTTGCCTCTGGATCCACACATCAGCCAATCGCTACTCGATCTCGGTCTTCCTCTACTCCGTTTACAGTTTCGGACTCTCCGGATAACATTCACAGTCCTTTTCATCTTCATAGCTCCGATCATCCAGGTTTAGTTCTCGTTCCTGATCTCTTAGATGGAACCAACTATGGAACTTGGATTGTAGCGATAACGACTAGTATCGAAGCTAAGAATAAGTTTGGATTTGTGGATGGATCTATTGTTCGACCTGCTGAAGATGTTCCTTATTACTTTATTTGGAAGAGATGTAATAGCATGGTTAAGTCATGGTTGCTGAATAGTGTATCGAAGCAGATCTACTCTAGCATTTTGTACTTTGCGACTGCAACAGAAATCTAGAAAGATCTACACACTCGATTTCACAAATCAAATCTTCCACGGCTTTACAAATTGCGTCAACAGATTCATTCACTTCGTCAAGGTAGTATGGATTTGTCTACATATCATACTAAGACTCAGTCTCTATGGGAAGAACTCTCCAGTCTTCAGGTTACTGCAAGGAGTGTTGAAGATTTGTTAGCTGAAAGAGAAACCAATCGTGTTATTGATTTCCTTATGGGACTCAATAATACCTATGACACAGTTCGAAGTCAAATTTTGATGAAGAAGAGTCTGCCTACTCTGTCTGAGGTTTATAATCTGCTAGACCAAGATGACTCTCAGAGGTCAGCCTGTGTTCCTACTGGTGCTCTAGATTCGTCAGCTTTTCAAGTCTCACAGCAGTCTACTCAGAGCTTTCCTTCTGGTAATTATCAATTTCAGAGAAAAGATAAACCTATCTGTACTTTCTGTGGTAAGACAGGACATGTCATGGACAAATGCTACAAAAAGAATGGATATCCAGTTGGTCATCCTCGTTTTAAGTTCTCAAGATCTCCTTCTGCAGCAAACGTCACAGCTGATGGTATTGTTAAGGTTTCTGCAGTTGCTGATAATGTCAAGCTGAGTGAAGATCTTTCCACAGAACAAATGCAGAAGATAGTTTCCTTTCTCAACACCAAAATCCATAGCTCTACTATCACACCTGAAGTTCATGTTGTTTCAGTGTCTTCCTTGCCTTCTTCCTCTTCCACTAGCCCAACACCTGGTACCTTTTATCCTTCTATCATTTGTTCTTTTACCAGTGTTGATAGGCCTTATACTTGTTCTACAAATAGCAATATCATAGCTATTAATGCTTGGGTTATAGACACAGGAGCCACTAACCATATCTGCCATGATAAATCTTCCTTCTCCACTTTCAAAACTATTCAAAACACCAATGTCAATCTTCCTAATGGTGGTCTAGTGAGCATTGTTGGAATAGGAACTGTTCATTTGGGTAGACATTTAGTGCTTCATGATGTTCTTTTCATTCCCCAATTCAAATTCAATCTTCTTAGTGTCAGTTGTCTAACTAAGTCTATGGGTTGTAAAATCTGGTTTGATGAAACTTCTTGTGTCCTTCAGGATCCTTCTCGGGACTTAATGATTGGCTTGGGTAGACAGGTGGCTAATCTCTATTTTCTGGATATTCAATCCATTGATCTGCCTATAAATAAGGATTCTATGGTAGCAGCCTCTGTCATTTCTCATGATCTCTGGCACAAACGGTTAGGTCACCCTTCTTTTTATAAACTTCAGTCTCTTTCTACTCTTTTACAGTTTAAAAAAGAACCAAAAATCCAAAAAGATTTTCATTGTAAAACTTGCCATTTGGCTAAACAAAAACATATTCCTTTTATTTCTCATCAAAATATTTGTAAGACTCCTTTTGAATTAGTTCATATAGATACTTGGGGTCCCTTCTCTACTCCCACTCATGATGGTTTTAAGTATTTCTTAACCATTGTTGATGATCATTCTAGGGCTACTTGGGTGTATCTAATGAAAAATAAATCTGATGTCTTACACTTATTTCCTGCTTTCCTTAGCATGGTAGAAACTCAATTTGAGACTAGAGTTAAGGGGGTTACATCTGACAATGCTCACGAATTCAATTTCACTCAGTTATACCAATCTAAAGGCATCATTTCTTATCATTCATGTCCTGAAACCCCACAGCAGAATTCTGTTGTAGAAAGAAAGCATCAGCACATTCTTAATGTTGCTAGATCTCTTCTATTTCAGTCACATCTCCCTCTCTCTTATTGGGGAGATTGTATTCTTTCTGCTGTGCATCTCATTAATCGTCTCCCGGCTCCTGTGCTAGAGGATATCAGTCCTTTTGAGGTTTTAACAAAGAAAACTCCTAACTATGATGAATTGAGAGTTCTAGGATGTCTTTGTTATGCATCAACCTCTCCCAAGAATAGACTTAAGTTTGATCCCCGAGCTCGTGCATGTGTTTTCCTTGGTTATCCTTCCGGATACAAAGGATATAAGCTACTTGACTTGGAAACTAATGATATTTTCATTTCCAGACATGTAGTTTTTCATGAGGAGCTCTTTCCTTTTGCTAAGTTTGGTCTTTCACAGGAATCTAAAAATTTCTTTCCTGACCTCCTTAGTACTTCTCCTATGTCTCCTATTATATCTGCTGAGGATACTTCTATATCCTCATCTTCCATAGACACTATGCCTTCTGCTAGTTCTATAGATGTCCATGAACCTTCTGTTCAAACATCGCATAGGAGAATTAAAAAACCAGCTTACCTTCAAGATTACTACTGTCATTCAGTAGGATCTTCAACCATCCATGAAATTGCTGAATTCCTTTCTTATGATAAAGTGTCAGCGCTTTATCTTTCATTCTTGGTTTCCATAGACAAAACAAAAGAACCCTCTACCTACACTGAAGCAAAAGAAATTCTTGTGTGGTGTAGAGCTATGGATGATGAAGTTGGTGCTTTGGAAACTACCCATACATGGGAAATCTGCAGCCTACCTCCTAATAAAAAGCCAATTGGTTGTAAGTGGATTTTTAAGATCAAATACAACTCTGATGGAAGCATAGAGAGGTATAAGGCTAGGTTGGTTGCTAAAGGCTACACTCAACAAGAAGGAATTGACTTTAATGATACCTTTTCACCAGTCTGCAAACTTACATCTGTGAAGCTCATCCTTGCTGTTTCTGCCATTTATGGGTTTACTCTCCATCAATTAGATATCTCTAATGCTTTTTTGATGGGGACCTTGATGAGGAAATATATATGAAGCTTCCTCCTGGATATGCAGCAAAACAGGGGGACTCTCTTCCACCCAATGCTGTTTGCAGATTGAAGAAATCTTTATATGGCTTGAAGCAAGCCTCTCGACAGTGGTTCTTAAAGTTCTCTGTCACTCTTACTGGTTTGGGTTTCATTCAATCCCATTCTGATCATACATGTTTTCTCAAAATCACCACTGAACTCTTCTTGTGTGTTTTGGTGTATGTTGACGACATTATTATTGCTAGCAATAATGATGCTGCAGTAGATAATTTGAAGTCTCAGCTCAAGAACTGTTTCAAGCTCCGTGATCTTGGTCCTCTCAAATATTTTCTTGGTCTTGAAATTGCTAGATCCGCTGCTGGCATTCATGTTTGTCAAAGAAAATATGCTTTGGATCTTTTGGATGAAACAGGTCTATTGGGATGCAAACCTTCAAGTATACCCATGGATCCTAGTGTCAAGCTTTCCAAAGATTCTGGTGGAGATCTTGTTGATGCTAAGTCTTACAGACGTCTTATTGGTAGACTGATGTATCTCCAAATCACACGGCCTGACATCGCCTTT